ACACACACACACACACACACACACACACAAGGAATGAAAGAAACAGTCACTCCAAAACTGATGTTTTTCAGAAATATTCACTGTAAACTTTCAAGTTGGTAGCCATAATACTTTGTACAAAACAAAGAAAGAATTAAATACTCACTCTGAAACTGATGCTCTTTCAGAAATATACACTGTACATTTTCAAGTTAGCAGCCATTTACAGACATAATGCCTTGGAAAAAAAGGTAAAGAAGTCAAAATATTCTCTTGAAGAGTGCTGCTTAGTCTAACATAGAATCAGAATTTTTTATTTTTAAATCTAAATATTTTTTATTATAAATCAAGTGCTTCATTATAACAACTGCGTTCACATGAGCATTTTTGCGCCGCTTCTTTGCAGTTTAGATATGACTTATAAAACAAAACTTTTAGAACTCTGTTAATTCATTAGAAATTGTGTGTAATCTGTGTGAAGTCAATCTTGGGTATGAACCACTATTTAGTGATCTCAGCATTAGGCCACATGTGCAAGACTTGTGAGAAAAAAGTGGGAGGCGGAGTACTTTGTCCCAAAGGGGGTTTGTTGAATATAGTAGCTTGTAGCTTCCTTTCAGATTTATTAGTTGTATTTGTATTTGGGTTGCCATAATAAAGTTGCTAAGCAAATGTTCAAAAGATTACGATCCAAATGAAACCATGCTGATTTTCTCAATCGGTTTCAATTGCGCAAGTTAGAAACCAGCTTGTATGCATATACACAAGACCACCCATTCATATACACCACACGTACTCTTTAACAGACACATTTACTCTAAAGCATGCCTCTTTTGACCTCAACACCTGACCTTTGACCTCTTCATACGCAGGTTCACCATTCTGCCGTCTGGTTCTCTGAAGATTAGTGATGTCAGGCTGATAGACAGTAAATTCTACACCTGTTCTGCTGCTAACCCAGCTGGCAACGTCTCACTCACCTACAATTTGCAAGTACAAGGTACAATCCAATAATTGCAGGATTTATCTGTGGAAAAACTCTTAAAATACATGAAATAGAATGCAGATTTTGGGAGTGTTCATAGTTCATACAATTATTCATCTTTTCAATGACAACATCTCTTTTAAGGTTTGACAATGAAATTTGATCTTGTAAAAAAAATGCTGTGGTAGAACTATGACATAGCGATAGTATCAGATATTATTGCCATCATTATTTTACATAATTGATTATGATAAGAAATGTTGTTTGAGCAGCAAATCAGCATATTAGAACGATTTCTTAAGGATCATGTGACACTAAAGACTGAAATAATGGCTGCTGAAAATTCCGCTTTGTCATCAAAGAATACATTACATTTTAAAATATTTTAAAATAGAAAAGTTATTAAACGGTTAATATTTCACTGTTTTTGCTGTATTTGTATCAAGTAAATGCAGCCTTGGTGAACATGGGATCTTTCAAAAGCATTAAACAAAATCTTGCTGAACTCAAACTTTTAGATGGTAGCTCAAAAAGAGGATAGTGTGGTCTTTGTAGTCATTCACGTTCTTAAAATTCTAGAATTCAATTTCCTGTAACCAAACAACATAGAAACCAGACTTTTTTTTGTACTGGATTTATCCTAACAGCTAAACCAAGGATTCAGCCAGCACCTTCGTCTCTTAAGGCTTTGATTGGCCAGACGGTGGTGTTGCCATGTGTGGTCCAAGGAGAGCCAAGCCCTCAGATCAGCTGGCTTCATAACGGACTTCTTGTGGGCAGTGATAGGATGCTGAAGATCCAGGCGGTCCAGCACTCGGACAGTGGCACGTATAGTTGTGTAGCCAAGAATAGTGCTGGAGAAGAGACCATCGAGATTGTTCTGAACATTTTAGGTATGTCTGTTGAGCAAAACTGCAAGAATTGCATTGTTCAACTGTAAACATTTGTCATTGCACAAAGAACTCTTTGGAAACCAAAACATTTAAGGAAGGCAATATATCATTATCCCCAGCCAATGTAAATTATGACTAAACATGAGTGTGTAAACCAGTGGATTTGGTCACAAATCACTTATCCCTGTGTTCCTGTGCTCTCCACTCTGACCCTTGAGTTGAGCTTTGGCTTTGGCCTTTTTATGTTAACCTTGTGCTTTATGTTAGTACTGTGTCGTGTAACTGCTTCTTCAAATTGCTTGACTCTAGTATAATTACTGTATGTGGTTACAGAGGGCCCCTATTTCAAGACACATGGAGAGACCATCATTGAGACTGTGGCTAACAGCAGAGTGCTCATCCCTTGCCCTGCAAGAGGTAGGTCAACTAGCTTAGCTTGTCACTATTACTGTATTTGTGGTGTATTTTCTTCTCTACTTCCGTGGGTTAATTAATGCTTGGTTTAATCCCATTTGTAAGACAAACAAATGTTTTGAAAGACTAAATGTAATTTGAGGTGTTAGTGTACAACCAAAACATCTTTTGTTAACCAACTTTACTAGCTTTTTAAGAAAAGTTTTGCTATTAAACAGTGTGACTGTGCCCATTCAGCAAGACCAGCACAAAACCAGCACAAACCAGCCCCAAACCAGCAGGGAAATCTACGTATATTGGTCTAAGTTTATCTTTTTGAGCAAAATGACATTTTAAACAAGTTAGGCTTATTTAATTTTCTCTGCGTTTCCAGATTTATTCAACATATATATTTATGTAAAGTCAGATTTTATTTCTGTTGTTTTAGGCTGAGCTGTAGAATGTATCATATAATGGATGCTAAATATATCTGAAATTTAGGTCATTTTATCGATAACAAGCTATTTGTAGTCTCTCTCTCTCTCTCTCTCTCTCTCTCTCTCTCTCGCTCTAATTTTCTATATGGACGGATTAAACATTTATTGGAAATAGAAATTCAAATAAATGCATCCCTGCAGAATATAAGTATTTTAAACGGGACATGACATATGAAAATCTGACTTTTTCCATGTTTAAGTGCTATAATCGGGTCCCCTTTGCATGTACCAACCCAGAAAACATGAAAAAGATCAACCCAGTAAATTTTTTGGTAAGCCTGTCTCTGCAAGCTTGGGAAAAATTAGCCGCTCAGATTTCGCTCCCCTGTGACGTAGAAAGGGAATCTTATTATAATATTACCACCTCTTAATCTGCAAATTTCTACCCATGGCATCGCCATTGTGTTTTCGCAAGCTACAACGGTGTACCAGTTCTTATGCCATGGCAAAAATTAGAGCAAAGCAGGCTAACTGTTCTGTCTTTGGCTGCACTGATGAGCACAGAACAGATGTTTTTTAGCAGAGTATCTGAAGCTGTGTTCACGCCATGTCGTAATCACTATAATTCCGAGATGGCAACACGTGACATTCTACTTGGAGCTGAATTATGTGTTTCTATGGCAACACTATCAACGCCAAAGCCCTCACATGCTCCAGAACTCGTAATAACAACTTGTAAACTCGGAATGTTCTGAGAGTTACGACTTAGACCAGTACAGCTGTACCACCTGACCGTCGCCAGATTCGTTTACAGCACCCATTATAAGCATGTCCATGCTCAGTCCGAGGACATGGAAAGCTATGAGTAAAATGTCATGTGTTGTCATCTCGGAATTACGGTAATTATGACATGGCATGAACGAAGCATGAGCTGTAAAATCACAGCCCTATTCTGGAAAATGGGGCGGGGAGCAGCAGCTCATTTGCATTTAAAGAGACATGCACGAAAACAGCGTGTTTCTGCTTCCACTCAAAATAGGCATTTACAAAATGATATAATAAATGGTCTAGCAATTAATAAAGTTATAATAGCGAAAATAAAGGCATCTACATTTACATAATATATGTAAACAAGCATATGTGTGAGAGAGCGAAATGATGAAAGCTGTCTTTGGGAGTTTAGTTTTTTTCCCGCTGTCTCTCACCATATGGTCTCTTTTCTCACCGCCACCTCATTTTGGCTGCTGGCAACATCTTCGTTCGGTAACACTTTGTGCAGGTTTAACAGCTCGTTTCACATAAACAGACCTGGAAAGGAAGTCATATGCCTTCATTTGCTAGAAGTGAGAGGTGTTTGGTGTGAATCGGTGTCTGTTTATGAAACACACTACAGTGATACATACCCAGCTCTTCTCGTGCACACTGTAAGCTAATAGGTGTTGTTTTGATGGAAACCTGCCATGGCAACCCTGCGTGTCGCGGATATGACATGATGTGAGTGTATGTGTGTGTGTGTGCGCAGCAGCTGGAACACTACTCTTCTCCTCTATCTCTGAGGGCCACATCTGCTTTCCTGCATGCGATGGCCCACTGGGAGAGGAATCCTAATTAGGGACTGTTGCAGGCGGAGAGGAGGAGGGCTAAGAGCGCGAGTACAGGGAAAGAAAGGGTTTGATGGGTCGTTTTTACAGGCGGTTATCAGTCTGTTTTGATTCAGGGCAAAGATGGTCAAGTAATCCTTACTATTAAGTGGAAATTGTGCTGAATTGCTGTTTGTTTTCTTGTGTATGTGTTGTATCTCTAATGTTGTTATGGGGACTGAGAATTCAGACATCTGTGTAGCACTTAATGAGAGGTACTTAATACAGATATGACAGTAAATAAGTGCAAACGGCTGTGCTGTCGTGCATGTTTGGTGGCGGATGACGGCAATCATTAGGCTCCAGCAAAAGTTTGTGTCTGTAAAATAAAGTGGCATGCCTAATAATCACACTTCATAGGAAATGAGCTACCTCAAACACAACCTTTACAGTTGATTTATAGGTGCTGTGTTATGATTTCACTCTACACTAAAAGTTTGGGGTCGGCAAGCCTCTTATGTTCACTAAGGCTGTAAAAAAAATACAGCAATATTGTAAAATATTATTAAAATAACTTTCTGTTTTAATATATATTGCTGATTTAATGTATATTGTTGACTTGCAGCTCGAGAAACATTTCTTATTATTATCAGTTGAAAACATAATTTTTGTGGAAAATTGTGATGCAAATTCTATTATGAATAAAAAGTAAAAAATAGCATTTATTTAAAATAGACATCTTTGTAAAAATATGAATGCTTTATTATCACTTTTGATGAATGTAATACGTCCTTGCTTCACAAAAGCAAAACGTTGATTAAAAACAAAAACAAATCTTTATTTTTTTATTTTTATCTCTTGCGCGAGTACAGGGAAAGAAAGGGTTTGATGGGTCGTTTTTACAGGCGGTTATCAGTCTGTTTTGATTCAGGGCAAAGATGGTCAAGTAATCCTTACTATTAAGTGGAAATTGTGCTGAATTGCTGTTTGTTTTCTTGTGTATGTGTTGTATCTCTAATGTTGTTATGGCGACTGAGAATTCAGACATCTGTGTAGCACTTAATGAGAGGTATTTAATACAGATATGACAGTAAATAAGTGCAAACGGCTGTGCTGTCGTGCATGTTTGGTGGCGGATGACGGGAATCATTAGGCTCCAGCTAAAGTTTGTGTCTGTAAAATAAAGTGGCATGCCTAATAATCACACTTCATAGGAAATGAGCTACCTCAAACACAACCTTTACAGTTGATTTATAGGTGCTGTGTTATGATTTCACTCTACACTAAAAGTTTGGGGTCGGCAAGCCTCTTATGTTCACTAAGGCTGTAAAAAAATACAGCAATATTGTAAAATATTATTAAAATAACTTTCTGTTTTAATATATATTGCTGATTTAATGTATATTGTTGACTTGCAGCTCGAGAAACATTTCTTATTATTATCAATGTTGAAAACATAATTTTTGTGGAAAATTGTGATGCGAATTCTATTATGAATAAAAAGTTAAAAATAGCATTTATTTAAAATAGACATCTTTGTAAAAATATGAATGCTTTATTATCACTTTTGATGAATGAAATACGTCAGTTCACAAAAGCAAAACGTTGATTAAAAACAAAAACAAATCTTTATTTTTTTATTTTTATCTCTCTTTTTTTTTAGCATTTTAATTAAGATTATGTTAATATAACCAAACTCAAATCATTTTAAGACTTAGTGGGACCTGGGCCCCTGGCTGAGAACAACTGCATAATTTTTGTTTGTTTGCAAACAATCATAATTTTGATTGTGTTAGTGGCGCATACATTTAAAAATGTTAACATCTGTATAGAACACACACTGTTTTCTTATAACAGAATTCCTCCGTCCTACAGGTGTGTTAGATAAAGAAGACATGTGCCAAAAGGAGTAGGAGTGAGGAAGTCTGTCCTTTTCAGATCGATCCATTTAATCTGGCTTGCACTGAAAGACATGACCCCACCCAAGGAACACACACAAGACTCTTTTTATAACGTGCATCATCTGAAGTATTGTTCAAGGGATTTCGGACAAATAAACTGCTCCTAATGTTATCCTGTAATGTAAACAGGACCAGCTGCACACCATTCTTTAAGTCACAAAAACAATCAATCCAAACATTATGACTGTAGACATCTGCTCTGGGAGTTCTTTTCCCTCCAATTCTGATTGGCTTGTTAAAAAAAAAAGTGGCTGACTTATTGTATACAGCGGCCCCTAAAAGTATTTGGACACTTAAGATGCACTTAAAGTATGAATATCTTTGAATTACGTAATAAATTATTATACCAAGTGACATTTATTTTAAAGCTAGCACAAACACGCATTTGAAATAAAATCCTTCACTAAAAAGCTTGTAAGAAAGTGAAGACAAACAGCATTTATATACTTTGTAGTTAAAACATTAGTGGATAGTTAATGTGACAAACTACAGCTGTGGTTACTCTAATAAGACACCTGTGTGAATTTGGCCTCAGTTGGTTGCAAGTCATTTATTTGCAGATGACAGCTGGTTTGATATGTTCTGTCACAACCTCATGTCATTTCAGACCTGTGTGGCTTTTTTATTTCTGTGGAACATAAAAGAAGATATTTTGAGGATGTTTCAATTGCTTTTTGTCAATACAGGCTCCTTGGAAAAAGATCCAAAACCATACCTGTACATAAAATTCACTGCAGTTTCCAGCTAAAATGAACACTAGTGGCAGTAAACAACTTTTCTGATGTAGTAAAATAGCTTGGTAAGCTCACCTGGTATGGCTGTACCTGATGTGAAGTTACAAGTCCCGTGAAACACAAGTCATGACAAAAGATTTTAAAAACTTGTAGAGGTAAGCTAAAATGGTATGGTTGCTGCAGCCAAAGGGTTTTTATCTCACGATTGGTTTTGTTATATCTATCGGTGTAGTGTAGGCGGTGCATTATTTTCAAACATGATAGAGCAGTAATATTTTAGTGCTACTGACTGGATGTTTCATTTCCAAACTGCCGCAATATGTACAACAAACAATAAAATGTTTCTAGATTCACATTCATCTGTATCGATTAGATCTGAACACTCTTTTAGCATGCTTTTCAGCACGCTTTCCAGTGGGCCGGGGTTCAAATGGGGTTCAAAACAACAGTGGACACTTTCATTGTATGAATAGAAAAACACTGAGAAATTCTTCAAAATGCCTTTTATGTTTCACAGAAGGAAAAAGTCACACAGTTTTAAAACGACACAAGGAGGAGATCTGTTTTATAAATCTGATCATATAAAAGTGATCGTTTCTCTTCACAAGACTTGGATTAAACTGCGTGATTCATATGGATTTTTTTTTATGATGCCTTTTTGGATCTTCCACATTTTGGTTACCTGGAATTTCAATGAAGGAAAACCTCAGAAACCTCTGAGGTTTCATTAAAAATGTCTTATTCATATACTTGTGTTATGATTTCACTCTACACTAAAAGTTTGGGGTCGGCAAGCCTCTTATGTTCACTAAGGCTGTAAAAAAATACAGCAATATTGTAAAATATTATTAAAATAACTTTCTGTTTTAATATATATTGCTGATTTAATGTATATTGTTGACTTGCAGCTCGAGAAACATTTCTTATTATTATCAATGTTGAAAACATAATTTTTGTGGAAAATTGTGATGCGAATTCTATTATGAATAAAAAGTTAAAAATAGCATTTATTTAAAATAGACATCTTTGTAAAAATATGAATGCTTTATTATCACTTTTGATGAATGAAATACGTCAGTTCACAAAAGCAAAACGTTGATTAAAAACAAAAACAAATCTTTATTTTTTTATTTTTATCTCTCGGTTACCTGGAATTTCAATGAAGGAAAACCTCAGAAACCTCTGAGGTTTCATTAAAAATGTCTTATTCATATACTTCTATGTTTTGAAGATTAACCAAAGTTTGAAGAGTGAGAACATGACGACAGATTTTCTTTTTTGGATGAACTATTCTTAATAGTTCTGAATGTCCAAATGTGTCTAAATACTTCTTTTGGGCCTCTTTTCGTGTATTTAAAAAAAAAAAATCCTTATTACAGTATATTCCTTCCACCACTATAGACTCTGCATGTCACATGGGAGAGTTTAATCTAAAGTGCTCTGGGTGAAACCAAACACAAATAAACACTTCTCAGTATCTGTCATTCCTGCCCAGATGGCCTTTGAGGAGGTTTAAGAGTTGACTGTAAAACAAGTACAAGGTTACCCCCTGCCCCGTCACTTAAAGCTAACCTAGTAAAGTTCATCACACATCTGTTAAAGGGGTCTTGGAGGCTGATATAGGACCTCATTGGTGTGTTTGAACTACTCCCCTTACTGCTGTCCTGAAGTCTCTTGACTTTTGTCTTTGAGCTATAAATCTGGTGTTCTTACGCTTGATCAGTTCTCTTCTGATATACTGTGTCTGGCATCTTCACTCGGTGCGTTTCACCTTGAAATACTGTTTGACGGGACATCGGCTGATCCACTTTCTTTGAAAGAAATTATTTACTGGCATCCTCTTTGTTTCTGCTCTTTGTTGCCTCTCTGTCAGATGGATGGATATCTGGTCTTGTTTTTAAGCTCTGGTGAGCCGTGTGTTCATTGTGCACAGGGAATTGTGATTCTGTCTTTTCTGATCGAGGTCTTCTCTTTCACACATACTGTTTCTCTATCTCATTTGTTTTGCTGTTGTCATCCCCTGGCTAGGGTCTCCTGCTCCTTGGGTGCGATGGTTCAAAAATGGCCTGGAGGTTCATATGGAGCGATCGGAGCACGGTGTGTCTTTGGCTGAGAATGGCTCGCTGGTGATTGGCTCCGCTTCGGCCAGTCACAGTGGAGATTTTAAGTGTGTGGCCAGTAATGAAGCAGGATCAGTGGAGAGGAAGACCAGGCTAAAGGTCAATGGTGAGACTTTTGCAGCATTTCCACATGGCTAATAGCTTTATTATGTCTAATTAATGTCTATTTAGTCTAATATATAACATTTTATAATCACTGAATCTTGGATTACAAATTACGAAACAATAATGTGTTTAATGTGTGCAAGATGTACAAATTTGTATTGGTGACTCTTAATTTATCCTGTATAGTGTACATAGAAGTTAATAGGAACACATTTCTGGTTTGTGTTGTTTTAGAGTAGGCACTTACAGTAGATTTATTTGAAGACTTTTTATTGCTTGATTACATGCCTAATTAAATACAAGCAAATTACTGTCAGGGTTTAGTGCTGGATAGAATTATGCTGAATGATTTCTTCGTCTCACAAATCTAGTTCCACCGGAGATCCAAGACGATGGGCAGCCTTTGAATCTGACGGTCACACTGAAGCAGCCCCTCACACTGGGATGTGATGCTTTCGGTATCCCAACCCCAACCATTACCTGGACTAAAGACAACAGACCTGTAGGTTAAGGTTTCCTCACGCATGGTGATTTTTTATAAAGATTGTTATATGACAAATAATGTATAGTCACCCTGTCATTAAAGCAAAATAAAACCCAACAGGGTTATCAGGACCCCATCATAAAATTGATTAATTATCCAGAATATTACACAGCTGCTTTCCAAATAAATATTTAAATTAACATGGAATATTAATTTTACTGCAGAGTGATGTGAGAGACATAAATCTAGCATGATGTATTAAAACAGTTGCCTGGGGCAATGGTCAAATATATAGTTTAACTGTCACTATACAAAAATATTTGCAGAATGCCAAATAATCCAGAGAGCCATGTAATACTATTATATAATTATTTTATTTTACTACCTGTTTGACTCTCCTCCAGTGTAATGGTAACATAGGGCCATCTAGTGGCCATAAAATTCATCACAAATCTTGGCCGCCTACTTTTGGAAATCAATTATCCGCTCTGTGCTTCTAGGTATTGGAGACTCCAGGGGTGTATCTGCAGAATGGAAAAAGACTTTTAAAGATTTACCGTGTTCAGCATGATCACGCTGGCCACTTTTCCTGCACTGCCCAGAACTCTGCTGGGGAAGACAGGAGGGAGTATATTATTGAAGTACAAGGTGAAATATAGACCGACAAGCTGTGTAATTTAAAGTAACATTGAGGTGTATGGAACAAAGGCTAAATATTAGGCTTTGTTTTTGTATTTAGCTTGTAACATTTGATACAAATCCCTTTAGTTTCTCATTTATATTTGTATGTTCTGATGTGTACGTTTAGCTCCACCAGTAATTTCAGGCACCTCAGGAGTGCAGGAAATGACTGTCATGGCAGGGCAGGAAGTGGACATGCAGTGCAGAGTTAGTGGCCGCCCACTGCCTACAGTGGAATGGAGTCATGATGGAGAGTGAGTCAATGACACACAATTGCATGCTGCTGTCTTCCAGCTTTTGTGCTCATGTGAGCTCTTCACAATCTTTCTCAGAATTTTATCCCCTAATGGAGACCCTCATGTGGAGTTTCTGGAGAAGGGGCAGGTTTTGAGAGTCAAGTCTGTCAGGCCGAGGGATCGTGGCCTATATCTGTGTATGGCCAGTAACAACGCTGGGACTCAGACACGGCAGTTCAGGCTGAACGTACAAGGTACGGTGGAAATCAAAAGGAATTAAACCATTCTTATTCCAGGTCCTATTACCGTTTCCTTGATTATGTAATGAATTCTAAGCCATATGTGTTTGACTCATTAAAAATAAACAAATTATAAGAGTCATTCATTTGGGAATCAATCAGACTACACTGTTTGTGCTGTATTGTTTTGTTTCACTTATAACAACTGAATCATAAGAATCATCATTCAAGAATATGATTATACTGGTTGTGCTGAATAGTTTTGATTCACTAAAAAATAACTGAATAATAAGAGTCATTCGTTCAAGAATTTGACTACACTGGTTTCATTTTATAATTTTGATATAATAAAATAAAAGAACTGAATCATAAGAATCATTTGTTCAAGAATCAAACTACACTGGTTGTGCTCTATGGTTTTGTTTTACTAAAAAATTAATCATAAGACTGATTCTTTGAATAATAAGACCAGACATTGTAGTGTATGGTTTTGATTCACTAAATGAACAGAATTATTAGAGTCATTCATTTGTGACCCTGGACCACAAAACCAGTCTTAAGTCGCTTGGGTATATTTGTAGCAATAGCCAAAAATACATTGTATGGGTCAAAATTATCAAAAAAAATTTTAATGCCAAAAATCATTAGGATATTAAGTAAAGATCATGTTCTATGAAGATATTTTGTTAATTTTCTACCGTAAATATATCAAAACTTAATTTTTGATTTATAATATGCATTGCTAAGGACTTCATTTGGACAACTTTAAAGGCAATTTTCTCAATATTTTGATTTTGCACCCTTAGATTCCAGATTTTCAAATAGTTATATCTCGGGTCAAATATTTTCCTATCCTAACAAACCATATACATTAATGAAAAGCGTATTTATTCAGCTTTCATATGATGTATAAATCTCAATTTAAAAAAATTGACCCTTATGACTGGTTTTGTGGTCCAGGGTCACATTTGGGAATCAAACTCTACTAGCTACTGTATGTATTTGATTTACTTAGAAGTGACATTTGAATTTTCTTATATATTTTTTGATGGAAATTTCTCCGTTCCCAACACCCACGTTTTCATCTTTACTTTCATCCAGTTCTCATCCAATCTTTATTCTCGGTCTTTTCACAGCTGCTCCCATGATTCATGATGCCGGTGAGAATTCAGAGGTGACTGTCGTTCTGGGCTTCCCTGCTGTTCTTCACTGTGAAGTTGAGGGGATCCCACTTCCCACTATCACCTGGCTAAAGGACAACCAGCCCATTGTGTCCAGCCCTCAGCTCACGTACACACAGAGTGGACAGTCTTTGCGTGTGGCTGCAGCCCGTGGTGAGGATGCAGGCACCTACACCTGCCGAGCAACTAACCTGGCTGGAACAGCACACAGACACCACACACTAAGAATTATGGGTAGGTATGGAAGGTAAAGAGATTTACATAGCTAAAGGTTGTTTGTTTTTGTCAAAGATTAATACTGTGCCATTTCCTCAGTACCTCCACAGATTGAGGGGGATTCTACGACTCTCAGCTTTGGCAGAAGAGAAGAGAAAGTGAGAATTAATGGGACATCGACTTTGTCATGCCTGGCCAAAGGCTTTCCAGAGCCTGTCACACAATGGTTTAAAGATGGACAGGTCCGTATATCTGTTTTATGTCTCTCAGGTTGTTCCATAGTTATGTCTAGACCATACTGCATGATTGTGAGTGTCATATTGCTTTTTACGCTGCAGTCAATGAATGAACAAGAAGATAATATTGAGTCACTTACATTTTTAACACAGTTAATGTGTATTTTTGTTCCTCCCAACAAAAATATTTCCAAACAAAACAAAAGCACGATCAAGTCACTGAACAACATGTATTTGAGGATCTGGAGAAGCAGCAATTTCAAATGCATTGGTTGAATGAATGGTTCAATGACTCAAACATAAATATAGTCCCTTGTTTCATTCCTGGATAAATCAGTGTGTTTGAATACATTTGTTTAAATAGTGATTAAATTACTCACTCATACAGTCACTTTTTTGTGTTGTTGGACTATACAGTTTATATTGAAAAGATGCTGTTTTTATTTGCTTTCTTCTTTGATTGCCTAGTTAAAATTAATTCAAGGAATGAAACAAGAAATTAAAATGAAAGCAAGAAATATTCTTGTGAGCCACAGTAGCTCATGTCCAGGAAGGATCTGGGCCTGAAATCGTTCCTGGGCTCTTCTAATCATCTTTTGAGGAGGAATGAATAAAACAGTCTTATTCAAACCCTCTCTATTCATGTTCCACAGCTATTAAATGGGAATACACACACCGGTCTGAGAGTGAACAGTCACATGCTCCTCATCGAGAATGCCATGTTGTCTCACGAGGGCCAGTACACATGTGTGGTTACCAATTCTGCTGGAGAGGACAAGAGAGACTTCCACCTGATTATACAGGGTCAGTGCAAATTATACACACTTTAACTTCAGTTGATAGGTGTAGATATTAATGATTGTTTCTTGAACTACCTCCTCAGTTCCTCCAATCTTTCACCGGGTAATAAATGGTGCTGCTGGTTTCTCACTGGGGGAGAGAGAAGATGAAGAGGATCCTGACGGCACTGAAGGGATGGTTGAAAGACGAGAGGTGGTACTGGGACACTCCATCAGTCTGTCCTGTGAAAGCAATGCTATTCCTCCTCCTCGACTCAGCTGGTACAGGCAAGGCAGGCAACTTACCAGCTCAGATGGAGTTGCGTTGTTACCTGGTGAGTGGAGTGAAATGTTCTTTTGGTGCCATGAGTCGTCGATAAATAAGCTTTATTAAATATACCTATATTGAAATATTGTTACAATTTGACATGTATATTTTAAATATATCTTAGAATGTAATTTATTCCTGTGATGGCAAAGCTGAATTTTCAGCATCATTACGCCAGTCTTCAGTCTCACATAATCTCCCAGAAATAATTTTGATATGCTGATTTGTTTCTCAAGAAAATTTTTTTACCATTATGTTGAAATGTTAAAAACAGTTGTGCTGCTTAATGTTTTTTTTGGAAACAGTGATACTTTTTTCAGTTTTCTTTGATGAATATAAAGTTGAAAAGAACAGCATTTATTCAAAATAGAATTCTTTTTTAACTTAATAAAAATCTTTACTGTCACTTTTGAACAATTTAATGCATTCTTGATGAATAAACGTATTAATTTATTTTAAAGAAGAAAAAAATAGTGTATGTACTTGTATGTATGTATGTATGTATTAGCATGTCCAGTACATGTGCAAAAAACCTTTTTATTAGCATGTGAACACCATGGTTCTCTTTAGTTATTGTAGTTAAAAACAAACAATGCCATCAATTTTGAACTTAAAGATAAAACACTGGCATATACAGTATATATACAGTACTTGTTTGTTTTTTGTGTGTTTCTCTTCAGGAGGGAATGTCTTGCAGATCCCACGGGTTCAGCTTGAGGATGCTGGGAAATATACCTGCCAGGCTGTGAATGAAGCTGGAGAGGACAAAATGCACTATGACCTGGAGGTGTTGGGTAAGGAAGTGAATCCAACAGGCAGATCTCTATAGCATTCAAATTAATAAACTTTTTTTGTCAGCCTCATTAATAATGAGCATGAATCATCTGCATAAACATGACTAATTTGACATTTTACGCAGTTCCTCCTTTGATTGATGGCCAGACTGATGAGTTCATGCAGGACGTGGATGCTGTGGTCAACTCGACTATATCACTGCGCTGTGATGTCACAGGAAACCCCACTCCATCTGTATCTTGGCTGAAGGATGGTCTGCCCCTCTACAGCGGCCCTCACCATCAGATATTAGAGGATGGGAAACTGCTGGAGGTGATGGTCATGAGCTCATAAACATGAGTTTTAACCCATTTCTCTCCTAATTATGCATACTATCTTTGATTTATAGGTTATCATTGATTTATATTACTAGGTTGATACAAAGATTTTGCTCATTTGAGAGAAAAAATGAAGCGCCATGCCTTGTATAACCCTGTGTGTCTCTGTAGATACTGAATGTACAAGTGTCAGATGCGGCCAGTTATCAGTGTGTGGCAGAGAATAAGGCTGGAGCTGTCGAGAGACTCTACAGCTTGTCTGTTCAAGGTAGGAGCAATTGACAGGGTTCCAACAATCATGGAAAACCAGGAAACATCAGGGAATTGTGTTTTGAAAATGATTAAAAACTGCAAAAAGTCTTGCAAAAATGAATGGAAATTTCATTAATGATGAATAGTTATGTTCTGCTCTAAAATATTCCATAGGCTAAATTATGGCAATATTGGGGGAAAAAGAACTTGCTCTTTCAAACCATAGTAGTGTGTAATGTCAAATCATTTTTGAGTCCGTTCTTATTTCCAATGAATTGTCAAACATTTCATAGATCAATCTGAAAGATTCATTAGCTAATTTAAATTATAATATTTTTATATTACATTATTGTTTTACAGTTGTCAAATAAATGAGCATAGGAGCATAAATAATTAGCTTTTTGTCTAATACACTGTTAATACAGCATGTATTTTTCTTAGTTCCACCAAGGATCGTGGGTCGCCGAGAGGAGGATATGAGTGTGGTGGAGGGTCACATGATCTCTCTGCTGTGTGATGTGCAGGCATACCCACCTGCTGACATCATCTGGACCAAAGATGGGCAGGTGCTGGAGTTCAGCACTGGCATCCACATCCTGCCAGGTGTTTTGCAGTCTAAATGTAACTCTCTGTGTGTAGCAATAATGCTTTGTGAAGCATGTATGCATGTACAGTATGTAATGTGCCATCATCTTGTTCAAAGGTGGTCAGATGCTGCAGCTTCCCAGGGCTGGACAGCAAGATGCCGGCCAGTATGTCTGTACAGCCACAAACTCAGCCGGACAAGACCAAAAGAGCATTCTCCTTACCGTCTACGGTTAGAAGACTATGGGAACTTTTGTTAATTAATTGCTTCAGTTGATTAATATAGCAGGTTTAAAAAATTTTTTTGATTTGGCCCTGATTTCTAGCCCTGCCTTCACTGGTGCCACGTCTTGAATCAGAGTCAGAGGTTATGACACCTCAGGTCGGGTCATCGCTTAGTCTGCGTTGTGAAGCCAACGGCACCCCTGAACCAGAGGTCACATGGTATCGTAATGGACTTCAGCTGGCTGCTGGGAATGGTTTGAGGATAGAGCGCCAGCAACTTGAGATAGTTGGGGTGCAGGTAAGAAAGCACAGTTTTATGGAAAGAAAGATGTTTTATGGGAGATTTGCAAATGTAAAAGCGACTGTAATGACCATCAAATCAGCATATTAGAATGATTTCTGAAGGATCATGTGACACTGATGACTGGAGTAATGGCTGCTGAAAATTCAGGTTTGCATCACAGGACTGAATGACATTTTTAAAATATCTTAAAATGCAAAACAGTTTTGTAATAATATTTTTACAATATTTTTTTATTAAATAAATGCAGCCTGGGGAGCATAAAAAAAAGACCTCTAACTTTTAAACATTAGTTGTGAATGTATAAATAAGCAGTGTATTTCTAGTTATTGCTTTGTTGACATGGTTTCTTTCCCTAGGTGGCTGATGGCGGGGTGTACACCTGTAAGGTGTCCAACATTGCAGGTCAAGTAGATCGCACCTTTAGAGTAACAGTCCATGGTGAGTCCGAAAAACACAGCGCAAATGAAACATTTATGCTTTATAACAGTTACAGGTGCAGTAAGCGATTTTGCTATCTTTCACTATTAGTGCCTCCTGTGATGGAGGGCCCTCTTCATGAGACGCTCACTCAAAACATGGGCTCACACATCACCCTCATCTGTGAGGCCTCTGGCGTACCTGTACCCAACATTGCTTGGCTGAAAGACGGCTCTCCTATCGGTCAGTTAAATACTGCGCACCTTCAGATTTTAGTGTGAATATAACACACTTTATATGCATTTTGTTGTCTGTTCTTTTGTGTAGAAAGCAGTTTGCAGTGGAACTGGTCAGCGAGAGGAAACCGACTGGAGTTAGGCCCTCTGCAGCTCTCTCATGCCGGCACTTACACATGCATCGCTAAAAACAGTGAAGGGCAGACGCAGAAAGACTACTCACTTACTATATTTGGTAAAACTGCACGTAGCTCTAATCTCAAGTAATCTCAGTCTTGTTTTTTGATTCACACTGTGTGGAATTTGCTAATTATTAACTCTAAAATAACCAAATGTATTTGGCTCCATCAGCGTCACCCACAATTATAGATTCTGGCCACCCATCAGAGGTCAGTGCACCTGTTGGGGAGGAACTGACTCTTGAATGTCGGGTGATGGGTACACCTACTCCCAAAGTGAGCTGGCTGAAGAACGGAAAGACTCTTGAGAATGGAAACAAAGAGCATATAGCGTAAGACTCTCACACTGATTCATTAAATTTTTTTTACTACTACTACTACTAAATGTTTAATAATGTATTGTAATGTAATATAATGCGATTTATACAACAGTTGCCTACGGCCAAATCCCAGCCGTTCTGATATAGAGCAACAGCACATGGGTGCTTGTGTGATATTGCTAATATATTATGTAATAAAGTATTTATACACAGAGTATATAAAGAAAGACTCACACAGATGAATGTTTTTTTAATTAAGTTTGAAAAATGAAGAAGAAAGAAACACGAAAAACTGAATGAACAATTTTCCCACACTTTCCGCTCCAATTGGTATGCTTATAATATTATTTGTAATTGACATTTGTATAAAAAAGAAAAGAAAAAAATCAATTGTGGGACTTTTTGACTCTTAATATAATATAATATAAACACATTGAAAAATTTATAAATTTTTTAAAAATCAGAAGAGAGAATTTTCATGAAAAATATTTTAATTGTTCAATTCCTACACCTTTCAGTCAGTTTGTTTTGCTTATAATATTATTTGTAATTAATTGTATTCAAAAGTATTACATTTTATTAAAAATCACTAGTGGGACTTTTTGACCCCACTGTATAATAAAGACAGTATATATATATATATATTATATATATATATATATATTCATTATCAAGCACTTTTAACACTGAAACAAACACAAGCACTAACTCATATATATATATATATATATATATATATATATATATATATATATTAACATATATACTGATGTGTTACAGTATCTCTCCTGATGGGAGCACTCTAACACTTCTGAATATAAGGCCAGAAGACTCCGGAACATACACCTGCCTGGCTGTCAGCTCTGCTGGCCAAGAGAGCAAGATCTATACCTTGTTTGTACTGGGTGAGAGCAGCTGTCTTTCTATAGTGTTTTAGCAAACACAATACAAATCTGTTAAATAATTTCCGTGCTTTTTGCACTACAGTTCCTCCCTCCATGAGTGGGGAGACCAGCGTCCCCCGTGAGGTGCACACCACTCAGCACAGTGTGGTCACACTGGAGTGCAAAGCCATTGGGACTCCTCAACCTCAAATTAGCTGGCTGAGGGACGGTCATCCTTTACTCCTCTCACCCCATGTCCGCCTGCTTTCTGCAGATACTGTTCTTAGGTCAGTTTTGCACGCACAACAGATGACAATTTCTGATATTATAGATATAACATTAGATTGACGGTGTCCTGTGTCTGAACAGGATTGCACCAGTACAGCTGTCTGATTCTGGCATCTACACTTGTGTGGCTCGTAGCAGAGCTGGATCAGCTGAACTCAACTTTGACCTCCACGTGCAAGGTACAGCAGAGCCTTTTAATTGATTAATTTATGTAAACACGACTCAGTTAACAAATAAAATATGAAAATAGAAACAACAAACCTGCAGGTTTTTAACTATTGCTTTTTTGTCCCCCTCATCAGCTCCCCCTGCGGTTGAGCGCACAGAGCCGACTGAGCAGGTGGCCGTGGTCCAGGGCTCTTCGGTAACACTGACCTGTGAAGCCCGGGGTGTGCCTCCTCCAACTCTATCGTGGCTGAAGGATGGCCAACCGCTTTCGCTGCACCGTAATCTTCTGCTGGATGGACAGGAAACCCGCTTCTTGCTCTCTGATGTGGGTCCCAGTGATGGAGGCCTCTACAGCTGTGTGGCGAGCAACCAGGCAGGAAGCAGTACCAAGACTTTCAACCTGACCGTGCTAGGTATTTGCAGTTGAAAGCAATGTAAACATGAGAAGTAAAGAAATTAGAGAAGCCCCTTTTTTACATGGGCTCGCAAACATTTTGTAATGGAAATCAGTGCTTTTATGAGGGAATGCAAAGTTTGTTGGGGGGGGACACAATGCTTTTGCATGAGAATGCAAATGTTTTGCGAGAGAACACTGAGTTTCTCAGGTAAGAGCAATACCTTTGCCAGAGTATGTAAAGTTTCTTGGAGAAATGCAATACTTCCCCATTTCATATTGTATATACTCTTAGGGATGTATAAAGGCATAGTTTCTGATATAAGTATTAAATCTGAGGATGTATTTTTCCATATTAGAGCCCCCCAAGATCTCTGGCTCTTCATCCCCTGACGAGCAGCTGGTTGCACTGGACAGTGTGCTGGAGCTGGAGTGTATCGCGACCGGTCTTCCCCCTCCAACCCTCAGCTGGCTGAAAGATGGGCGTCCACTACAGGACAGCATGGCAGTAATAGAGAGAGATGGGCAGCTGCTCAGAATCAACCAAGTTCAGGTGCTTTGAATTTGGTGCTTATTCAAATGAAGGTGTTTTGCTTGTTTATAATAGGTTTGCATTTGTTTGTGACTTTGTGGTTATACCAGTATGTTTTGAAATAGGTGGAGGACGCAGGTCTGTATACCTGTATTGCTAGTAGCCCAGCAGGAGAGGATGGCAGAAACCATTGGGTGCGCGTTCAGCGTGAGTATATGTGTGACAGTAAAGACTTTTATAATGTTGCAGAAGATTTCTATTCCAAATAAATGCTGTTCTTTTGAACTTTCTATTCATCAAAGAATCCTGAAAAAATATATATCTCAGTTTCCACAAAAGTATCAAGCAGCACAGCTGTTTTCAACATTGATAATAATAAGAAATGTTCCTTATTATTAGACTGAAGGCTAGAGTATTGATGCTGAAAATTCAGCTTTGCCATCACAGGAATAAATTACATTTTAAAATATATAGTAAAATAGACAACACTGGAAAAAATGTCATATAAGGACCACAGTCATAACAGGTGAATCATTTGTCCGATCACTTTTAGTTCCACCCACTCTTCTCGGCTCTAATGACATCAGAACTGTATCGGTTCCAGCTAAAGGTCACTTGACACTGGAGTGTCAAACCAACAGTGACCCTCCACCAGAGATTGAGTGGTACAAGGATGATGTCAAACTACAGGCGAGTTGCTCAGTGTACTTTCTGGATGTATTTGTAACTTTACATTCACATTTCACAATCACATTATTCTGTCTTTTCTGTCTCTCTCAGTTGGGAGGTCGAATTCAGTCCATTGCTGCTGGACAGTATTTGGAAATTCAAGATGTCCGGACCCAAGATAGTGGACAGTACAGCTGTGTGGTCACCAACATTGCTGGCAGCACCAGTCTGTTCTTCACTGTAGAGATTCTCTGTAAGTTTGTGTTACTCACTCTCATGTCGTTTCAAACTTGTGTGACTTTCTTGCGTGGAACTCCATATACACATAAGCATATACATTGCTGTTCAAAAGTTTGGGGTTGGCAAGTTTTTTTTAATGTCTTCGAAAGAAGCCTATTATGCTCGACAAGACTGCATTTATTTGATTAAAAATGCAGCAAAATGTGAAATATTGTGAAATATTTTTACCATTTTAAAATAGCAGTTTTCCATTTTAATATATTTTAAAATGTAATTTATTCTTGTGATGGAAAATCTGAATTGTAATTACTTCCAGTCTTCAGTCACATAATCATTAGGAAATTATTCTAATTTAATATTTTGATGCTCAAGAAATATTTCTAATTATTATCAATGCTGAAAACATTTAGCTACTTAATATTTTTTATAGAAACTGTGATACAATTACAGGATTCTTTGATGAATAAGAAGTTCAAAAAACAGCATTGCTGTCACTTTTGATCAACTTAATAGATCCTTGCTGAAAAAAGGGTAACACGTTATTTTAAGGTGTATTTTTTACACGTTACATGTACTTACTATTATACTAACAATTAATTATGCATACATAATTACATACAAGTAACCCTAAGTCAAACCCTAATCCTAACCCTAACCATATAATAAGTTGTTAATTAATATTACTCAGTACTTAAATGTATAACTACACTGTAACAAGGACACCTTAAAATAAAGTCTAACCAAAAATGTATTAAAATTCATATTGACCCCCAAATGTTTGAATTTAAATGAATGGTAATGACAGATTATATTTCAAATGCTTATGTTTTCACTGTATGGAAAAGAGTCCTGCAAAGCAAAACATCTCTTTTTTTTATGTTCCACAAAAGAAAGTCAGTCCTACACGTTTGGAACAACATGATGGTGAGCAAGTTATAACCAAATTATGATTTATTTATTTTTTTTCATTTTTGGGTGAACTGGTCATTTAATGCTAAACATGATGTTGTTAATTCTCAATTAGTCAGTCTTTGGTTCAAAGGAAATAAACAGTTTATTGATTATGTTCACTTAGTGCCGCCGGTCATCAGAGAGGGCAGCTCACTGATCGTAGCACATGTCAATCAGGATGCAGTGTTGCCATGTCAGGTGGAGGGAGGGCCTTCCTCATCTGTCCTGTGGAGGAAAGATGGCGGTCCAGTCCCACTTCACCATGGCAGGTAAGTTTGAACCTCAAGCAATCAAGTAAACAGCCGCTTTAATCCTGTCCTGAATTTATTGGATATCAAAGTGCCACCAACTAAATTCAATCTCTGCCTGCTCAAAGATTCAACTTGCTATCAGAAGGCTCTTTGCGCATTGCGTCAGTGCAGCTGTCTGACGCCGGGCGTTACTACTGCAGTGTATCAAATCAGGCAGGATCAGACCATCGCGGCATGGACCTTAAAGTCTACGGTACTGCAGAACACTTACACTTTCTTTAGGTTGCACTAAAGAGGGATAAAGGCATTTTCACCAACCTCTTAAAAGAGTTCAGACTGGTTGCCAGGCTAATTCTTTCTTTTCTATCCTCATTTATCCTTTCAGTTGGGCCCTCGATTAGCCCTGGCCCCTTTAATGTGACGGTGGTCACAGGTCAGAGAGCAGTGTTGAGTTGTGAGAGCACCGGCATACCTGCTCCTCAGGTGAGCTGGAAAAGGAACGGCTCACCCCTCAATGTAGATCTTCAGTCTGGCGCTTACAGGTTTGAAGCGATATTTGAAATGATAAAAAAATATATATATTGTATTTTTTTTTTTTGTTAGATTTGTTTTAATGTATAATATTATTTTTATTTCATATTTAATTTATTTGCTGACATACAGATTTAATTTAGTTAATGACAATTTATTTATAATAATGTAATATGTAATATATACTGGTGTAATTTTTAAGATTAGTATTTTGACTAAATGTTTTTATTTTGAAGGTTAATGTCTTCTGGCTCTCTGATCATTTCCTCACCGTCTGTTGAGGATGAGGGCTACTTTGAGTGCACAGTGACCAATGAGGTTGGAGAAGAGCGAAGGGTCATAGAGGTCATTCTGCAAGGTACTGTGTAACAGATTTGTGTATAATAAGAAATATAAAATACATATTCACACTCATATACTATAGCCCAAAACTGTTTGGAGACTTCTGCCATATTTACAAATATATTTTCGTTTATGTAATAAAATAGCAAAAAAGTGGCATTTATTATAATGAAACGTAAAGTGTCCAAATGTTTTTGGGTGTAACTGTACATGTACTCTAGCATATTGTGAACTCGTACTGTCTGTGCATATTCATGAATTATTTTCATATTGGATTTTTTTCAGTTCCTCCTCTAATTAAAGATGATGTCAGCAGTGTTACAGCTGTTAAAATGTCTCCTGTCGTGTTGCCATGTCATGCCATGGGCCGTCCAGAGCCTGTCATCAGCTGGAACAAGAACTGGATGCAGCTAGGCACTCGAGGGGGCAGTTACCGTGTGCTGCCCACAGGTGAATCTGAGACAAACTTCCACCATAAGCTACACGCTTCAGCTATTACTGATATTCCTAAACCTATGCTGTAGTAGATGATTTAACTGTAGTTGTTTCATTGTGTTGTAGGTGCACTGGAGATCTTGGCTGCAACACCTAGTCATGCTGGCAAATATACCTGCTCTGCCCGCAATTCTGTTGGAGTGGCTTACAAACACGTTACTCTTACTGTACAGGGTAAGATACAGACGTAATAGTGATATTATGTTGCTTGAAATCATCTTATGAATAATAAGCACATTTAGTATATGCAGTAAATAAAATACATGGTTTGGTTTGGGTTCTTAGAGCCCCCAGAGATCAGACCCATGGCAGAAGAAGTCCAGGTGGTGTTACATCACTCAGTGGTTCTACCCTGTGAAGTACAAGGATTCCCAAGACCCACCATTACATGGCAGCGAGAAGGTGTTCCTGTGGCAACAGGTTGGTTTGGTTGCAGCCTACCTGTAGTTGGATTAGTTACCAGTTTAAATTATAAAACAGGAAATATTAATAATATGACTGTGATTCAGAGATAATGTGTGACACAAATGCTTATATTAGAAGACTTTCTGATAAAAGATCTAGCATACAGTATGTACTATGGCTGTGAATATTTTTAGGTCATAGACTGACAGTGCTCCCCAATGGAACTTTGAAGTTTTCACGGGTCACTCTTGGAGATGCTGGAACATACCAGTGTTTAGCACAGAATGAAGCAGGAACAACTATGGGAAGAACCAACCTCATTTTACAAGGTACGGCATGTTTATATGAGGAAGTCTGCCTATACAGTATCTCAAACTAAAGGTTCAGTTGCATATTCATCTCACTGTTTCGGTGACAGTTCCTCCGGTGTTGTCTGTGCCTCATCTGGAGTACACAGCAATTCTTGGCCATCCGGTCAGTCTGGAGTGTACCGCGGACGGTCAGCCAAAGCCAGAAGTGACATGGCACAGGGAGCGTAGGCCTGTTGTGGAGGGCACACACCTGAGACTGTTCTCTAACGGCACACTGCACATCACTGCCACTCAACGCAGCGATGCAGGAATCTACACCTGCTCAGCCCGAAACAACGCTGGTAGAGCCAGCCATGACATCAGAGTAATTCTGCAAAGTGAGTTCCAGATAATACCAAGAGAATCATTGTTTAAAGGGGTCATCGGATGCCCATTTTCCACAAGTTGATATGATTCTTTAGGGTCTTAATGAAAGTCTATAACATACTTTGGCTACAATTTCTCAATGGTAGTGTAAAACAACACCCTTTTAACCTGTCGAAAACAGCTATGTTTACAGCAAGCGGTTTTGGTACATTTCCCTTTAAATGATAATGAGCTCTGCTCACCCCGCCCCTCTCTTCAGTGGGGTGATGCACAGTTCTCTGAGAGACTAAACTTTAGCCGCATTCATCGTGAAACTTGCTAACTAGCACATTATTAGGAAAGGTGATTTGCAAAATTCATTAAAAAACTTACACACTTCTTCTGGAGGTGAAGCTGGATCACAAATTATTTGCACGAACATAGACGCATTTAGGTAGATCGGGGGTGCATTCCCTTCAAAAACAAAAGTAATCCACTACGTCTTAGATGTCTGGAGTAAATGACAACTGCTATGCTCATCATTACATCCAACAACAAAACACCTCGATCGCTTAGGAGACATTGTTGTCTACACATGCTCCGGCGGTGAAACAATGGCAGACTGTTGACAGCTCACTCAGGGCGGGTCTAAGGTAAGACGCCAGTGTCAATCAACTATCGGGGGAGTGGCCTTGCCCTGTATGACGTCACACTGGCAGGAATCTGAGAACTGCTTAATTTGAGAAAGGGGTTTGAATTTATCGAGATTTTAAATAAACCACTGGGTGGATTTTTATCATTATAGGCTGGTTGTGTACACACACTGCCAACACATATTTCAGTTCAAACAACATTTTGCATCCGATGACCCCTTTAAGTTATAAGGTCCCCCTCCTCACACTGGCAAATTATTATTTTTTAAATAAGTAACTTTAACAACGATATATACTTAAAACAAGAAAAACAGACATTTTATCAAATGTGGTGAAAACAAGAAGTATTAACATGATTGATTATACAACATTGAAGTCTATGCTATTGTAATAAAATATATAATAAGCCTTAATTACTAGAACATATTAATAATAAATATGTACTAATACACAAAAATGCAATAAATAATAAATCTTAACTACTTTGAAACATTAAGTATTCTGAAAAGCCACACCCTACAAAAAATAATGTAATTTTTCTGTATTTTTGTCTTATTTTCCATTAAAATATCTAAACATCCTATCCTAAACCCCCATATTTAAAAAATTATAATTTGGCATGAATGTAAGAAAATATATTGATGTTTATGCTTAAAAAGAATTCAGGGTGGTGAAAGCAACACTGTCTTAACATTTATTATTATACAACAACTTTAAAATGTATTCTATTATAATAAAATATAAGTCTTAAAATGAATTATTATTAAATGTATATAATTTTTAAATAAATAAGTCTTTAAACAGATATATGTATCTTGTTTTAAATGTTTCCATTTTTTTTTACTAACAATATGATAAAATAACTGATGAAGAATTTTTTTTTTTACAATGTAATAGATTGAAATAATTTTTGTATTTTTATATTTTATAATTATTTATACAATAGATCTTTCTGGTCCTCGAACATGATTGGCTAAGAGCCTTTTCCAGGAGTGTGATATTCTAGTAATAACAGAACTCCAACCGTTTAACTGTTTGTATCATTCTGTTTGCAGTATTTCTCACAGAGAGTGTCATGGAATGTAGTTTTAAGATTTTTTTTTAGGTGAGAATGTAGTTGCCTGCAGCAATGCATGCCGATATGCAGACATATCACATTGCTACTCGTGTGATATTGCTCATGTAAAATAAAAAATATGCTTACATATATTTAGCATTACATTACATTTATCAAACTGTGGTCTTAAGCATTTTAAACCTATTAATGACTATTAATGAAAGACATTAATATACATTTTATTCATTAATATATTTATATGCCTCTCCTCTTAGCCCCACCACAGATTTATGTTGGTCAGTCAGAGATGTCGGTCATCCAGGGATTTCAAGCACTTCTGCCATGTGCAGCACAGGGTCTTCCAGAGCCCAGGGTGAGCTGGGAGAAACAGGGAGTCCCTGTGCCAACCCTCCCGGGCAAATTCACTCTGCTGAGGTCAGGAGAACTGATTATCGAAAGGGCTGAGGTCAGTAATATGCATTTTATTGGATATAAATGACCAGAATGCCCATTTAAAATACCCTTCATATAAAGTCATGATGTTACTTTATGTATTTTTGCAGCCTGGTGATGCGGGTCTGTTCACATGTGTAGCCACCAACACTGCTGGAACAGCTCGACGGGACATTCGCCTGTCTGTCAACATGAGACCTGCTTTTAAAGAGTTACCTGGTGATGTGACGTTGAATAAAGGCCAAAGTCTCACCCTGTCCTGCCATGCTCAGGGTACTCCACCCCCCACCATAACATGGACTGCCAACAACAGGCCCTATACAGGTATGAGAGGAGTTTATCGTCTTTCCTTCGATACCTTTTTTCCAGCATAACAAGAATTCTCTCATTTTTGCCCACAGGTGCAAGTGTTGATGGATCTGGCAGAAGTTCAGTGATTATTGACAGTGCCACTGTAAGTGATGGTGGCACCTATGTCTGCATTGCAGAGAACACTGTAGGATCCATAAGGGCTCTTTCGTTTGTGCGTGTCAGAGGTATGCATTTATTCATTTTTTTTAATTGTATTCAGCAATTGTATTCAGTTGTATTCAAAAAAAGTGGAAAATATAAGTAGTAGTGTTTGAATGCTTCTAGATCAGTGTTTCTCAACCTCAGCAGTCTTCCAAGGGGGGCACAAAAAGTCTTAATGTTTATTTTGGTCTTATTTTAAATAATTTAAGATATGTTTTGTTTTAATTCACTCCCTCAACATTTTTATTTAATTGAAGAACCGGGGTTCCCACAGTGTTGGAAAATTTGGATATATGAGGTAGCCTAAATTTAGACCTAGAATAGTCATTAAATAAATAAAACCTTAAAACACCAACAACATGTTGTAGTTATGCCAAGTTCTAAAATATTGTACTGGGTAGAAATGGGTAGAAATCCTTGTTCTGTAAATCACAAACAACTGGAAAAGCTATGTAAACCCTAAAGAATATTTAGCTGTTAGAACTTCTGAAATTCTAAAACTTTTTATTTTAATTATAATTATTTTAGTTGCTTATTTTAATCCACAGACAGCCCTAGTTTATGCCCTAGTTTATCAGAAGATGTACCATCGGAAACCTATTGGCTTACATATTGGGTTCTTCAAAGTCAAAAAGGCTGAAAAACACTGTTCTAGATCATGCCTTGTGACTGGATAATTCAATATGTTAAATTAACTTTTTTCTAATTTAAAGAGCTAGCAACTGTTAAGCATACACTCTGTCTTTACAGAACCTCCCGTGCTGAGAGGGGAAGCCCACACAACTAAGACTGTAGTTCAGGGTAAAGCTGCCATGCTGGACTGCGCTGTCAGCGGGGACCCTGTCCCTTCCTTGCGGTGGCACAAAGATGGCCGGCCGATACTTGGCTCTCTGCGGTTTCATCCCCTCCGCAATGGCTCTCTGGTTTTGTATAGTGCCACGGTAACCAGTCCTTATTTGTGTGAATAATGACTACATTATTTAGTATTTTGGTGCAACGCTAAAATGATTGAATACGATTTTAAAGGCTTTTCAAGGTGTCAAAGGCTATTTGACCAGCTCACCACTGCACATTGTAATGAAAGAAATGTGTGAGAGGTAAATGTGTGTGTTTTCCAGATCGGAGATTCAGGAGAGTACAGATGTGTTGCTGAAAGTGAGGCGGGCGCTGCGGAAAGAACAATATCTCTGAAAGTACAAGGTAAATTATTGTATTAGAGCCATGTTCATCTGTATATTTTAGATTAGCATTTAAAGTAATTTCACATTCTGTACTGTTATTGCAGTTCCAGGGGGCTACTCAAACTGGGAGGAGTGGGGCCCGTGCAGTGCCACCTGTGGGCAAGGCATCCAGGAGCGAATCAGATTCTGTAACAACCCACCTCCAGCCAATGGTGGGCCATCGTGCGAGGGTCCAAACGTGGATTCCAGGAAATGTCAAGCCTCTTTGTGTCCAGGTGCATCTGTGTTTATTGAAAGAAACCATATAGTTTAAAATCCTAATTAGAGAACTGTAGGGATAATGTATTTTTGTAGGCCAAAATCCAGAAACAAGTTAGCCTTTTAGCATGTCCATCTCCATTTTTCCAGTGTTAATGGATTTTTTTGAACGGACTTTTGGTTAAAAGCGTGAAATAACGTCTGTGTTTAACACAAGATCAAGATATTTTAGTTTTATTCTATGACATAAAATATATCCGTTATACTCATTTATGATTTTATTAAGGCTTTTACTTAAAGGTGCAATAGGTGATTGTCTTCAGAAACATTTTTTGTTATGCTGGTTGAAAGACTCTTCACATCCCGATAGCAATCATTAAGTTAAGTGGTCTAAAAGTATTTATCTGTATTTATATATTCTGTGGAAGGCGTAGGACCAAGAAATGTTCGTTCAATCAAAACGCTTGGTCCGATCGTTTTAATTGGCTTTCCTACCTGCCTGTCAACATATGTATTAGCATACCTCTGCGCACCCGGTTTGCACAGACAGGATACTTCATCAGCGCGTTCACGCACGCTGTGCAGGCAGATCCAGAAACAAGTTAGCCTTTTAGCATGTCCATCTCCATTTTTCCAGTGTTAATGGATTTTTTTGAACGGACTTTTGGTTAAAAGCGTGAAATAACGTCTGTGTTTAACACAAGATCAAGATATTTTAGTTTTATTCTATGACATAAAATATATCCGTTATACTCATTTATGATTTTATTAAGGCTTTTACTTAAAGGTGCAATAGGTGATTGTCTTCAGAAACATTTTTTGTTATGCTGGTTGAAAGACTCTTCACATCCCGATAGCAATCATTAAGTTAAGTGGTCTAAAAGTATTTATCTGTATTTATATATTCTGTGGAAGGCGTAGGACCAAGAAATGTTCGTTCAATCAAAACGCTTGGTCCGATCGTTTTAATTGGCTTTCCTACCTGCCTGTCAACATATGTATTAGCATACCTCTGCGCACCCGGTTTGCACAGACAGGATACTTCATCAGCGCGTTCACGCACGCTGTGCAGGCAGAGCGAGAATGGCAGACAAACATCAACAACCCGATCTTCCTTCCTGGTATTGTAGTACTTTTAAAGTTTTCTCACCGGTAAATGACACATGATGTAGCCCAGCGGTTCTCAATTCCAGTCCATTTTGCATGTCTCGCTTAGTTAACACACCCGATTCAGATAACCAGCTCGTTAGAAGTGAGCTACATGCATGAACTGTGTTACGATCGATATGATCCCTACACAGTGTTCATTGCTCCCTACTCCCTGAGCAGTGGAAATTGTAGAAAGTTTACTTCACTTCGGAACATTCATTCACGGATTTGCGCTGCGCAGCGTCTTCACACAGACTAAACTTACTAGAGAAGTGACATAATATACCTCCGTAAATAAATACTATTTAAATTTATGTCTCGCACACTTTAATGCCTTTTGTATGGAACATATCCGCTCGCTTCGAACTGGATGGCGGAATATCCGGTGATGTCCACTTCGCAGATAGAAGTGACGTACGTGCATGAACTGTGTTCCGATCGATATGATCCCTACACAGTGTTCATTTCTCCCTCCTCTCTGAGCAGGGGAAATCCGTTTAAGTTTACTTCACTTGGGAACGTGGGCTGGAATTTGGAACCGCTGATGTAGCCTATTGTAGTAATGCTGTCTCTGGTATTCTGGTCTGTGAGCGTATATGCGTCCAGGGGGCGTGGCTTTGGACGGCGATTGCAGGGAGGGTGGGACGTTCGCTTTCAGTGCTATCAGGCTAGAGTTAGCATTTTCCAAGATCTCCTACTACACCTTTAACCCCTTAACTGTCATCTCCATTTTTGAAAATTCACGAGAAAGTGCACTGTCCAAACTTAAATTATTATAATTCATGAACGCTTTTGAATACAGAACGAAGGTTGGTCTCTTTTTAAAGAAGACAATTAGCAGATTATTACAGAAGTGAAAGCATTTAATAAAATGAAAGTATTAAAAAGTTATAGAAGTTTAAATTTACTGTAAAGAAAATGTATTGTACTATTTTTATTTTATTTTATATTCCACAAAATGGCAGTAGTGCCAAACACTCGTCCAAAAATCCAGTAAACAAAAACATATGGTGCGAAGATCCAAAATATACAAAGATGAAAGAGATCCGCACTCCTGCAAATGCAGCTAAAAAAGCTTAATTACATTTATTATTCAGAGGTCACAAAAATATGTAGAACATGTATGTAGAAAATATGTAGACATGGCACTGAGGAAGGGTTAATACCCGAAAACGTTCTGCACTTGCACTTTTGCACTTCTTTCTACATATTTTTGTGACCTCGGAACAATAAATGGAATAAGCTTTTTAAGCTGCATTTGGAGGAGTGTGGATCTCTTTCATCTTTGTATCTTTTATTTTATATAAAATAAATATTTAAAAAAAAGTTAAAATACAAAATTGCTATTAAATTAAAGCCATATGTCTACATAAGTTGTGTTCCAAATTTGAAGTTAAAGGAGTCATATGATGCGATTTCAAGTTTTCCTTTCTCTTTGGAGTGTTACAAGCTGATTGTGTATAGATAAGATCCCTGAAGTTACAAAGACTAAAGTTTCAAAACCAAAGAGATATTCATTATCTCATATGATGCGATTTCAAGTTTTCCTTTCTCTTCTCGTTCTAACCCGCCCCCACATATCTACCTCACTATGTGGAAATATTATCATAATGCGGCCCAAATGTTCACGCAAAGAAAGAAGGCGTGGTTTCAGTAACCGCAGTTAGTGTTGAAGCTGCCATGTCAGGGAGACGCTGTGTGTTTCTAGGCGTGCGTGCGTGCGAGCGAGCGAGCGAGAGAGGGTCACATCACAGTGGAGTCAGCTGTCTCAAGACTGCGCTTGTCGGAAGGAGGGGGCTTTGTAGAAAACGAAGCATTTGAGAGAGGCGGGGCATAGAGGACCTACATTAATGTACAGTATTTGAAAAATAATGTGTTTTTTGAACATTAAAGCATGTCAACATATTCTGTTACACCAAATACACAAAATAATGATCTTTAAAAAAGCATCATATGACACCTTTAATATAAAAAAAATTGAGGTTCATATGCAATTTTGTTTAGGCGTTATTCCATAAAAAGCCACCGGGTGACACCCAAACTCCATTAAAAAAATGTTTGATGCAATTTTTGTCACAAATCTATCAATTTCTCTCTCAATATTATATCTATCACAAAATATGGAATCTTGAGACTCAGACCTTTCCAACGATATGTATTTTGTCAAGATTATAAAAAGTTTTGATTCTAAAAGACCGTAATACATTTTGTAACATGACACCCCCGCTAAGGGGGAGGAGACCGCTAAAAGATTTTGAAATGCCATTTCTATGGTAACGCAATGTCCGATTTCAAAATGGTTTTCACAGGATAAATTTTGAGATTTTAAGCTTTCAAATTGTATATAACTTATGATGATTCCTAAAACATGAGATAGGGAAAATGGCAACGAAATAAAGACTTTTTGTGACAAAGGTCAGAACTCCTGTTATGATGTAGATTTGTCATAGACTCTTGGTGCACTCTTGTAATAAGTTAATCTATTACTGTTCCTACATAATTTGTAACAAAATAAAATGCCAAAATATATATTTAGGAGTCTTAGACCTTTCCAATGATATATAGTTTGTCATGATTACATTAGGATTTAATTGTACTATAGTGAAGTAAACTTAGGTGTCCCGTATACGGGACGGTGACCGTTAAAAGGCGGATAAATGAGACAGGGGTTGTCAGGACATCAAATGTCATCACAGGAAACTCACAGGATCCCATAACAGGAAAACTCATCTGCTCATTAGTCCACTTTCACAGTCTTGTTGTTTTATATTCATGCTCCTACGTATAGCTTTTTACTTCTGCCGATTGTATTTAGACGTCAAAATTCATATGTTGTGTTTGTAAGGATCCACCCGCCAGCCCAAAAAGCGGAATCCAGCAGCCTGATCGAAGGTTTTCTGCGTGTATGTCTTACACGGCGCTTCTGCAAGAAATTATCTTAAATCATTCAAATTTGGTTTCCAATCAAAATTCTGACTCCATGAATAATTTAATCTGACTCCAATTATTGGTAATTCTTTAATGCAATTTAAAAGCTGATCACAACTAACGACTATGATTTAGATATTTGATTATTCTGGAGATTCCATACTTTCAATTATTCATTCATTTAAGGACCTAACATCGCTCAGAAATTCACTCGGCCATTTATGGCACTTTTTCACTGCATGGTACGGCTCGGTACGGTTCACTTTTTGGGGGTTTTCCACTGGGTACAGTACCTGGTACCTGGTACTTTTTTTAGTACCACCTCGGTTGGGGTTCCAAGTGAACCGTACTGTTACCAAAACGTGACGTGTAAACCTGATCACGGATTGGCCGGAGAGAATCGTCACTACCTGCATCACTGAACTTGCGACACAAACACAAAAGAACTGCTAGATTTAAATCAGCACAGCCAGCGAAGGATCGAACGCAACTGTTTTGAACGAGTGCACCTTTTTTTAACAACCAAAAAGTTTTGTTGTCCATTGCGGAAGAACAGACGTTCCTCTCATTGATAGCAGAGAGAGCGGATCCAGCGAGAGCTTGATGGGGCGACGCGGAATGAAAACGTTTTTTTTAGGAGTCGTGGTAGTAGAGGCGGCGCAACTATAACGACATGTGAATTATCCCGCCCACTCTAAAGCTGTACTGAACTGCAGTGGAAATGCAAACCGTGCCGAGCCGTACTGAGCCGTGCCAAGCAGAGTCATACCACGCAGTGGAAAAGCGCCATTTGTGAACCCATGGACACAAACTCGCCAGTTCTGGTCTTACTCAGAGGATACAGTGTGATTAAATACCTTTAAGTAGGCTGCACCATGCTAGTACATAACAAAAAGTGTAATAATTTCTCCATACTCACGAAAGCTGTAACTTGTTAAGCCAGTGACAAACAGAAATCAGAAGATCCCTAATGGAGAGCCCTCTGCCCCGCTCATTGGTACTTAAGTATGATTTGTCCTGGACGCAGATTTGCGGAAATGCTAGACTACACAATAATCTACTTGAAAAAATAATTTCTAGAAAACCCAGAATAAATCAAAATTAACATTTATTTTTGCCAGGCATCATCAAACAATAATCAAAAAGAGTTAATTCAATCATTCCACAATGAGAATACATAAATTACAGGAAATGTATTAAAATTCTGTTACACAACTGATCAGCATGAAACACAAACCTAGAATAAGAAAGTAACACTAAAATAATTTCAAAGAGTCAGCATACCTGGCAAATAGAGAGACACACGACAATCGTGTGGGAAGTTCTGTTTACAGATGCCTCCCTGAATGTTTCACTAATCCTCTTTAAATACTCAAATCAAAACAAAACAATCCTAAATTTAGCATAATAAAAGCTTCACAGGACCTTTTGCTGGGACATGAAATGACCTGAAAGCCATATCTAACCTGGGGTTGAAAAAACAACATCTGGCAAAGACCTTATCAGGGGCGCAACCCATACCAGAAGAACAGAATTTTTCTCATATTTGAGATCTTTATTTTTGGTCTGTTCTACTGATATGGGACTGAGATCACATTTCCAATCGCACTGAGACTGTAAAGTTGATACCAAACATGAAGAGTTTACGATCATGAATTTTGAAGATATAATAAATGTTTTTATATGAGCATAGCAGCTTGAGTTCTTGGCATTTCTCTGTGAACCTTTAGTGACCTGGACCATGTGCCCAGGGGGGAAGGATGCGTGAAGGGTCAAATGGTCTTTCTTTCAGATCTTCCTATCTGATTAGAGAGTTCATTGTTTTGTGGCATGACATTTGCATTGCGAGAATTCCTGAGTGTTTGGCTTCACGAGGGGATCAAAGCCCCTGGGGGAAGGATGGGTAAAGGGACCGACGAGCAAATGGTCTTTCTTTCAGATCTTCCTATCTAATTAGAAAGTTTATTGTTTTGTGGCATGGCATTTGCATTGCGAGAGTTCCTGAGTGTTTGGCTTCACGAGGGGATCAAAGCCCCTCTACATGTTCATTTGTGAAGATTATCATGACAAACAAGAAGTCTGTTGGTCACAGAACTTATTTTCTGCAATATGCTTTTGGGTTTTTGTTGAGGAAACCAGCGTAATGCCAACTTCTACAGCAATCTATTGAAGAAAATGAATGTTTCTAGATCCCATTTCCACCTGGTATTAAGGTTTTTTTATATGGTTTACAAGTGGTCAGCCGAGACGCATTACAATTTCCAACTGGTAATAACAAATGCATCTCCAGTCATCACATGTGTTATGAGATATTAATACAGAGTTCTGGCAGAGTTCTCGCTGCTCAACATTCAAATATATGATTAGTGCTTGCCATAGCAGTTGCAGCTTGCTTCAGAAACCTTCCCCAGCTCCACCTGTATAGATCTGCTACGAGGTGATTCATGTATGCTAGGCCTATATGGGGGTTATTTCATGTATGTTATATTTGCAGCAGCTATATTTCTTACATGCTGACAGCAGCATGTTGTGGATGTATTGGCAGTAGCAAGTCTCGGTACTTGCTCTGCCGCAGCAGCAGAGTAACAGATCTATTCCGCCAAGACCAAATACATTAACATTGTCATGTACATTACCATGCCGATCCCTCCGAGAGTTGTCATGACAGAAAGGTGGTTTATGATACCATTGTTGCCAGAATCGAATAATATTCAAAAGCACTCATTGTAACATATGCCATTACTCCTCGTAACTTTAGCAGACCAAAAAACTTGCCATTTTAGTGTAAAATGTGCCTCAGACTGTCTGTGATGTTACAGACTACAAGAACCCTTACACACTGTCTTTCTTCTCTGTTGTGTAGGCGAGTCTCCGCGGCGTGCACGGGGCAGTCTGATAGGCATGATTAATGAGAAGGAGTTTGGAGTGGCCTATCTGGAAGCCAATATCACAGAGAATGAAGCGGATGGCACCAGCACGCTGGATGCCCATGTAGAAAACATTCCTCCAAGTGTCGGTGAGTGTACTTACAGTGTGGTTTGGCCATGTGCCAGAGTGAACTTAGACAATCAGTAATGCTCAATTAAAGCTATGTTGACTTACAGCTGACAAGAACAGGAGAAACTGGTCCTTGATAACATGAAAAAAAATCATTTCTGTTGTACTTGTCATTTGACAAGTGTGCTTTCAAACAGACATCAAGAAGTACCAGACAACACATTTAAACTGCCAATGTTCTTTCTCTGACAATAAGACCCTGCTGTTTTATTTTGAATCTATTATTTGAAACCTTCCTGCATTACAGGTCCTTTGTTGCGAGTTCTTGTGTCAGTATTTGCCCCAATTTACTGGACAACTGTATATCAATCACCGGAAACCCAAAATGGCTTCTCTCTCACTCAAGGGCAGTTCAGACAGGAATCTCAGCTGGAGTTTGACACAGGTTACAGCTTTCCATACATGCCACTTTGAAGAGCCTAATTAACACATCTGTTGTTGTAAATGGGACAAAAACACATTTTCTGTTGCTGAGAGGACTTCATTTTGGATTCTATCAATTGAATGTGTCTTCTGCCTTGGAATGACAGGAGAGGTCTTAAAGCTGACTCATGTGGCCAGAGGTCTGGATGCGGAAGGGGCTCTGCTAGTGGACATTGTGATCAACGGCTTTGTTCCTCCTATGCTGTTGACTTCTAATCTCAATCTGCAGGTTGGTTTTTCAAAGTCATGGACGTAATACTCTCTGACTTGCATTTATGTACACTACTTTTCAAAAATTTGGGGTCGTTAAGGATTTTTCAAGTCTCTTCTACTCACTAAGGCTGCATTTATTGGATCAAAAATTCAGCAACACAGTAATATTTTTTTATATTTTACAAATTAAAATAACTTTTCTATTTTAGTATATTTTAAAATGTGATTTATTTATTTTCTAGCAAAGCTTGCGCATACAAGGAATTTGTTTTAGTGTCACAAGCTTCCAGTACACAGAGACAACAACACACAGACAATAAAAAATAAGATGAGAATAAAAAAATACACATGTAAATGGAAAAATAAATTGTGCTATAGATAGAGTAGAGTAGAATAGGAATCGAATAGAATAAGATGTGGGGATGTACTAGGATGTGGGGTGGTAATAAATATAAGGTTATTGCACATATTTTTATTGCACAATGGGGAACATTTAACTGTTCATGAGGTAGATTGTCTGGGTGAAGAAACTGTTCTTGTGCCTGGCTGTCCTGGTATTTGCTGCTCTGTGAGGGATCCAGAGTGACTCTGGATGTATACAGTTCTTGAAGGGTGGGCAGGGGAGCACCAATAATCCTCTCAGAAGTCCGAACCGTTCTCTGTAGTCTTCTGATGTCTGATTTTGTAGCTGAGCCAAACCAGACAATTATTGAAGTGCACAGAACTCGATAGCTTTTTTAACAATGAAGTCGATGCGAGTGTCCCACTTCAGGTCCTGGGAGATGGTGGTGCCAAGGAATCTGAATGACTCCACTGTTGTTACAGTGCTGTCCATGATGGTGAGTGGGGGGAGTGCAGGGGGGTTTCTCCTGATTTCCACGATCATTTCCACTGTTTTGAGCGTGTTGAGCTCCAGGTTGTTAAGACGGCACCAGACAGCCAGCTGTTCAACCTCTTGTCTGTAAGCAGACTCGTCACCGACTTGAATGAAGCCGATAAGTGTGGTGTCTTCTGCGAACTTCAGAAGCTTGACATAGGAGTCTTTAGAGGTGCAGTCATTTGTGTAGAGGGAGAAGAGCGGTGAGGAGAGGACATAACCCTGAGGGGCTCCAGTGCTGATGGTGCGTGCGGCTGTTTGACATGAATTTCCCCAGTCTCACTAGCTGTTGCCTATCTGTCAGAAAGCTGGTGATCCACTGACAGATAGAGATAGGGACAGAGAGCTGGGTTAGTTTGTTCTGGAGGAGTGTTGGAATAATGGTGTTGTAGGCCGAACTAAAGTCCACAAACAGGATCCTCACATAAGTCCTTGATTTGTCCAGATGCTGCAGGATGAAGTGCAGTCCCATGTTGACTGCATCATCCACATACCTGTTTGCTCAGTAAGCAAACTACAGGGGGTCCAGTAAGGGTCCAGTGATGTCCTTCAGGTGGGTCAGTACCAGTCTTTCAAACGACGTTAGAGCCACATGTCTGTAGTAATTAAGTCCTGTTATCTTGGGTTTCTTTGGGATGGGGGTGATGGTGGAGTGCTTGAAGCAGGCAGGCAGGGACTTCACACAGCTCCAGTGATCTGTTGAAGATCTGTGTGAAGATGGGGGCCAGCTAGTCAGCACAGGATTTTAGACAGGCTGGTGTAACACAATCTGTGCCTGGTGCTTTCTGTCTCTTCTGCTTCCGGAAGACCCTGACGCACATCATCTTCACTGATCTGAAGTGTAGGAGGTGGGGAGAGGGGGGTTGCTGGAGGTGTTAATGGTTGTGTAGATCGAGTGTGGGGTTTGAGACCAGTTTCAAATCTACAATAAAACTCATTCAGGTCTTCAGCAAGTTGTTGATTCGCCTCAGTGCTGGGGGATGTTGCCTTGTAGTTAGTGATGTCTTTCAGACCTTTCCACACTGATGCAAGTTTGAGCATCATTACTCTAGTCTTCAGTGTCACATGATCTTTCAGAAATCATTCTAATATGCTGATATGGTAGTCAAGAAAGAATTATTAATATTAATATTAATATATTAATATATTAATATTAATATTTTTGGTGAAACCAAGAATGAAATATCTTTTGTAACACTTTACTGTCACAATTGATACATTTAATGCATTTTTGCTGTATAAAATCATTAATTTCTTTAAAAAGAACTTTAGGCAGTAGTGTATGTACAAATGTATAAATAGAAAAGTAGTTAATAAAAATTTACCAAATACATAGGTATTGTTAGAAATACTCTTAAAGTGATAGATCATACAAAAATGAATTCTTGAAAAGTATTTTATTTTCTTTCCATCTGTTCATTAGGAGTTTGACGAGTCATATGTGCAGACAGGCTCCGGGCAGCTTTATTCCTGGTCCTCACAGAATCACATGTGGGACGGGTCTCCTCTGACCCTAAGATGCAATCATTCTGTGGTTTTTGAAGGGCCGGAGAACCGTCAGGGGCCCCTGCTGCAGCTCCTCAGACTGACAGGAATAAGTAGCACCTACAGCTTTTTCACTCTCAGCCTGGAGTTCAAGATGACTGCCAGTTTACTCATACCAGGTCAGTCCATGGGATAGTTTTTTTTTTCAGTTAATTGACAATGTGTAAAATGATGCATAAATTATTAGAATAATTTCTAATAAATCATATTTCAATTCAAAAATACATAATCAATGATTTGTTTGTGTGCAGAGGGTAATGGAGAGACGTGTCCAAAAGGTTTTGTATTGGACACAGCATCTTACTGTGCCGGTATGTACTTTATAAACAGTTTTCAAATGTATATGCAACTGCATATTAGCTATGAAAGCCCACATTCTTTTACCAATATCAAAACAAAATTTATTGTAGAATGTGATTGGAATATTTTGTTGTTGTTTTGTCTTTTAGATGAGGACGAATGTGCTGTTGACTCTCCCTGCTCACACTCATGTAATAATATCATGGGTGGTTTCTCCTGCGCGTGTCCTTCTGGATTCACCATCTCTACCGAGTCCAACACCTGCCGAGGTCAGATCTATATTAATACAAGATACAGTATTTTGATGGCACTATCCATAATAAAGTTCAAATGTTCCTAGATGATATTAGCACATTTGACTGGAAGGCAGTGAAAAGTTAATCTCCAGTTTCTTACTGTGATTTCTGTTGTGATTCAGATATTGATGAGTGCACCCAAGGTTCCCACTTGTGTCACCCCAACCAGCAGTGTGTGAACACTGTTGGGACGTATCGCTGTCAAGCCAAGTGTGGCCTGGGCTTCAAACCCAGTTTAGTTGGCACCAGTTGTGAAGGTTAGTTTAAAATATGGTGGTCAATGGATAATCGATGGAGAATTTATTAGCTTTATTCATTATCCATCACCATGCTAAAATCTTCAGAGAGTTGTCATGATTGAACAGTCTTTCTTCTTTCACAAAGATATCGATGAATGTGCATTTAAAAAGCCTTGCCAACATGAGTGCAGAAACACAATAGGAAGCTACCAGTGCACTTGCCCACCAGGATACCAACTATTATCCAATGGCCGAACATGCAAAGGTGAGTCTTTTGCACTTTTTATTAAAAAAAGGTCTTTCATTAACTCATATACACATTCCTGTATATAACAGTGGCGGCTCGTGGGTTTTAAAATAGAGGCGGCACACTAATTGTATTGGTCTGAGATCCCTGCCGATTATTATTATTATTATTATTATTATTATTATTTGCTTAACCACTTTAAAATGGCTTTTTGGTTGCTTTTAGTCAGAAAACGTAAAGAAAACGACATGCATACAGCAAGATAATATAATTTCACTTACCTGGCCTATCACTTGAAGCAAACTCCATCCCTTCTTAAAAGTCTGTGTTAAAAGAGAGCTGCCTGTTGCGCCATTTAATTAAGCCGACTGCTGTAGCCTATATCCAGCTTAGGCTGTTTTCCCTAAATTTGTATATTTACTGTTTGAATGACAGCTTGGTAAATCTGTTGGCAATCAAATATTCAATATCGCTACTCATCATAAGTACTTGGTACATTACCAGTGCAGCGGGAGACGTTAAAACTAATATCACCTCATTTACGTCTCTTTGATGATTGGTTAATATCAGAAGGGAGGCTTCTTTCCTTAGCGCTGAAAGTGAACACTCAATGGTGATTGGCTAATTTTTTTTTTACCAACGGAGGCACGAGAGCTCAGCTCTCCCCTGGCCTCCCCCTACCCTTCTCTATCATTAGCGGTTGTAATTACATCAGCAGATTCGGCACATTCGCGATAGAAAAGCGGCGCTTTCACGTTATGTTATTACAACTGTGAAATTACAAACAAAAAATACACATTCTGAGACATGAACTGAAATTAATTGTGAATTGTATTAACATTAAATCGTCCTCCTCCCATTTTCACCTCAAAATTATGGGGAAGCTGTGCCTCCCCTGCCTCCCCCAACGAGCCGCCACTGGTATATAAAGCCTTTTTTCATGTGAAAAAAAGTTTGAAAATTAACTTTTCTTATAGATATTGATGAGTGCACTGTGCAAGGTGTTCAGTGTGGCCCAAACCAAATGTGCTTTAACACACGGGGGGGCTATCAGTGTCTTGACACACCCTGTCCCACCAGCTACCAAAGAGGACGCAATCCAGGGTAAGATTTGCTTGTAATATAATGAATGAAAGCCTCAGCAAAAGAAATGAATGAACAGGAAATCTTATTTAGTAGCTTTTTTTATTATTTAGGGGTTCAAGTGTGTAGCTATTGTGATTGTTATAATGGTCACGGATCAGCGATCTCCACATAAAACTCATTGTGCAGACCAAACCGTGAGTCATAGAGACGTAAAACTTGGAGGGATGGTAGTACTCACACACTGCAAAAAAATGTTCTTCTTACATAGATTTTTTTTTGTCTTGTTTCCAGCCAAAATATCTCAAATCAAGAAGGATTTTCTAGACAAGTAAAAAAATTATTGTTTTGTTTTCAGAAAAAAACGTTAAAAACGTGAGTTTTTGCCTGAAACAAGCAAAATAAGCTGCCAATGGGGTAAGCAAAATAATCTTGTTTTCTGTTTGAAATAAAGATTATTTTGCTTAGCCCATTGGCAGATTATTTTGCTTGTTCTAAGCAAAATTGTTCTGAAAAAAAGACAATAATTTGTACATCATGCTTCTTGATTTAAGTAATTTTTAGATATTTTGGCTGAAAACAAGACAAAAAAAAAAACTAAGTAAGAAAAGCATTTTTTTGCATTGCATCGCCTACAATGTGACCAAGGCTCACTCCAATCGGCCTGACGGGGGTGCTACAGCAATCAAAAGTGCAAAATCACTCATAACTCTTAAACCGTCAGTCGCAGGCTCAAGTGTCTGATGTCGTTGGAATCCTTGGCACGCCTCAGATTTAATCGTGTGCCCGGCGAAATTTTGGGGTATTTTTGCATTTTTTGCAAAACCTACTTTTGCTAACTAGTCCTAGGTTTTTCGGCCGATTGGAACCAAACCAGTGCAGAAAGATTCTCTGGAGAATGAATATCAATAATTATCAAAAAATGTTGAACTTTTGACTCACTGTCGCGATTGGGAGCAAAAACGTTAGAAAGGGGCAGGGCCACTTTTAGTAAAATACCTATAACTCCTGAATGTTGTCTACAAGTTTTATAAGTGTCTACAAGGACATTTGCGTATCTCAAAAAACATGGCCGCCATTGGCAGACGAAGGTTGAGCACCTGTTAGACAAGGTTAACGGAGGCCGATCGGAACGAAACTCGAAAGGGCCTGTACAACTCACAGCCCCAAAGGTCTGAGAGAAATTCAAAAGAAATCGGCCACTGTGGGGCGATATCGCATTTTCAAGGGCGATACGATACAACTCCTCATTCTGGACAACTTTGCCTCTAGAACCATAGCTGTCAATCAAATCGTTTGTTAAATGATTAAGATGTAAAAAACCTACTTTTGTGATTTTTTTCACTCAATCTGGAAAAAAACACTGCAGTACAATTCAGTTGACTCTCTAGGCCAATAATTATAAAAAAAATGTTTTAAATGTGCCCTTTGGGAAGCTATAACGGGGTCGTTTAGAAAAGGGGCCTGTCCAAATTTACCCCAAATCCTATAAAGCCTTAAGGAAAACTCAGGCGCCAGATTTTTTATAGGTTTAAGGGGGTTCGCGACCAAAAAAGTTTGAGAACCACTGGGTTACAGGCTTGTTACAGGATTGAACCCCGATAATTGCTGCTTGCAGCTATATTTTTATTTACTTTTATTATTATTTATGAATTAATAATTCATGATGTAAAAAGATTACTTGGAAACAGAGGTGGACAGTAACTAAGTACATCTACTTGAGTATTGTACTTAAGTACACTTTTTGAGTATCTGTACTTTACTTGAGTATTATTTTATCTGGAAACTTATGACTTTAACTTCACTACATTTGAAAGACAAATATTGTACTTTTCACTCCACTACATTTCTATCAAGATCCTCAAAGTAGAAAAGTCGTTAGCAGCTTTGAAAGTCAGTTGGTGATTTTTTCCTTCTCTAAAACGTGACTTTTTTTTTTTCAGACAGTTTATCAGTAATCACTCTTGTAGGGCTACATGAAGTGATTTCCCAGCATTTTGTGAGCACTGACCAGTTCCAAATGTGATATTTATTTACAACAATTCAATAATAAGAAGTTAATATTGTGGTTTATATTAGACACAATATTGTCTGATTTTGCTAAATTGTGTAAGTGAAATATTACCTATACATCAAAGTACAGCGAGAGCAATTAGACATCATTTAAAAAAAAATTGTTTTGATGTCAAATACGTCTTGCTGTTTTGCATTTTTTTTAAAGCAGTGTTGCTGTTGTAAAGTTATACAGCTACAGTTGTGTTGCTGGGTTTTAAAGCAGGTTTGGTTTTTTATTTTTCTTCCTTAAATACTTCCTTATCAGTCTGTATTTACAGCAATTTCACTGTCCACTCTGTTCAAATGTGGATGAATGGCTACACATAGATGTGTCGAGAGCTGTGTGAGATCACTACCATCCTGCTTTTGTGGGGGTGGGTAGGAGAGAGAGTATAGAGTGCTATGTGACAACAAATTTGATTGATGAGGGTCATAAAAATTCCACACCCCACCCATAAGTGGACACCTGTACATCCCCGCCCCCGTCTAATGCCGCTTTTCCACTGCATGGTACGGCACGGTATGGCTCGGTACGGTTAACTTTTGGGGGGTTTTCCACTGGGTACAGTACCTGGTACCTGGTACTTTTTTTAGTACCACTTCGGTTGGAGTTCCAAGTGAACCGTACCATTACCAAAACGTGACGTGTAAACTCTGCTGATCACGGATTGGCCGGAGAGAATCGTCACTACCTGCGTCACTGAACTTGCGACACAAACACAAAAGAACTGCTAGATTTAAATCAGCACAGCCAGCGAAGGATCGAACGCAACTGTTTTGAACGAGCGCACCTTTTTTTTAACAACCAAAAAGTTTTGTTGTCTGTTGCGGAAGAACAGACGTTCTTCTCATTGATAGCAGAGAGAGCAGATCCAGCGAGAGCTTGATGGGGCGACGCGGAATGAAAAAGTTTTTTTTAGGAGTCGTGGTAGTAGAGGCGGCACAACTATAACAACATGTGAATAATCCCGCCCACTCTAAATCGGTACTGAACTGCAGTGGAAACGCAAACCGTGCCGAGCCGAACCGTGCCGTGCTGTACTGAGCCGTACCGAGCCGAGTCGTACCACGCAGTGGAAAAGCGCCATAAGTGACCATCTGTTTATCCACCCCAATGACCCGAAGGAATTTATGATTGTTTGGGAATGTGTTTTTTGTGTGGGTCAGTTGATACTGTTCAAAACTGATGTGCCCGTCACTTTATGTGCTTTAAACTTTAAATTGTGAAACGTGGTATGATTATTAAACGGGATAAGGGAAGTTTTTATGAAAGTTTTCACACATACATTTCAAGAAAAGCATCAAACATACGTGGTATATAAACAATGTAATGACAGTTTTTTCCAGAAAAGAGTAAAAAACGGGTCAAGACGAATATTTAAGTGTTGTTAATTTAAAAACTAGTTAGTTTGTTACAAGTTAGAAAATAAAAATAAAAGTAGCCCACTGACCATCTATCTAAAACAAACAAAAAAGTATCAGATACGTTCGTTAAAAAAATACGGAAGTTACAATTTTAAAGTTAGAGTTTGTTACCATTTAGAAAAGAAAAGAAAAAATGCTGACTTGAGATGGCACAATAATACGCCGTACACTTGCAGAACGCAAGGTTCTAGAAGGCACATAACTCTGAAGTAATGAATTTAGGTAAATGGGTGCAGAGCCAGTGGTGGTTTTGTAGGCAAATATTAATGCCTTGAACTTAGCAGTGCTTTTATCCGAAGCAACTTACAAATGAGGAAGTGTTGAGGGGTAAGCAATGTAATAAGTCCTGGATAGTCTAATGTGGTGCAGATAGCAAGTTTTTTTGTTTTTGTTATTTTTTGTTATCAATTTAATAAAAAGAAAAAAGAAAACGGGTAGACTGAATAGAACGTACGAGCGTAGATGGAAAATAAAATTAATAAGAAACGATCTTGTATCTTATATCTGATATAAACTAGGATAATATAATAATGTGACGTGAATGTCTCGAATAAAGACGAGGTTTAAAGCAATATTTTATTAAATCAACCAAATTCGCAGAAATATTGACTTGTATAAACAAAGAGGCCCGCTAACATGACAGCAAAAACTAGGAGACAAAGCATATAACGCCATAAGCATAAGGCCTAACAATTACAATTAGGTGGGAAAATAAGATAAGAATGGTGAAACTGCGGTAAACAAATTCAAACAGAAAGAGCGAACAGCCATGTAAACATATAAAATTGTTCTGGTTTCAAAGTGTAAGGTGATGAAAAACTTTGCGGTTTAAATCTCACAACGGTGTGACGAGATCTAGAACTGCAGCGCCGTTAAACATGTAGGTAGATGAAAAATTTTCAATATAAACAAGAATGCAGCTCTGATGTGACTTATCTCAGTAATAAACAGTTGCATTTGCTAATTAACTATTGGAATTTATGACATGTTAAAACATTTTGGTATACTGCAGATGAGGACAAAAACTTCTTACCACATGTTTTCATAAAAAGAAGAACGAAATATTAAGGCATCTGTTTTCTGGGTCAGACCTAAAAGACAGACGCCTTAAACACCGGTATCAAAGTATTGGTGTGAAGAGAATAAAAAATACATGAATCATCCCACCTTTCCCTTAAAATGACTTATCAAACTGTAAGTCATTTACCTATTGTTTAGAGACATACACAAAATAAATGCGTATCTATGTGTGGACTGTGAAATGTGTGGCTTTAAGTGTAATAGTTAGAAAAGTTTGAAGTGTAATATTTGCATAGGTAACAGAAAAACACAACTAGGCTACTCACTTTTCATGCTTGGGTTGTCGTGTCTTGTGTTTCCGCATCGTAGACAGACCAGAAAGATGACCTAAAAGAAATTTCATTTGTTTAGTCTTAAGCAGTGCCATGTAGAAGTCATTTAATCGATTAATAAAATTCAATTATTTTGCTGTATTTCTTTTGAGAGTTTAGCCCTGTTAACCCTAATTACAGAATAATGCA